GTGACATTGTAGCTTAAAGAGGTAGGTGAACATTTGAAATTAGCCATAAACAGTGAATGACTGAATTTTTCAAAAATCTCAACTTGGTTCTAGTTGAACAAAAGATGAAAGTTAAGAAAGTGAACCAGTAAATTTAATCGTTTCTCAATAACCATGATATGATTTTTTTGTTTAACGCCTTTGCACTTAGAGCAAGTAGAAGCCTTACTGACCCGTCCGTCGTCACCACCACCATTCCCAATAAACCCTCACCCAAAACAAAAGAAAAAGAATACATCAAATGCCCAAAAATGCAGCATACCTCATATGGAACTCCAAGATACTCAATAGTATTTTCTCAAATATAACATTCTGGCATTTTCCAAAATCTATTCCCATCCTACAACATTCGTATACAAAGCATACCTCATAAATTACCTTAACCTAAACAAAGAAAAAGTTCTTATGTCTAGTTACAAATTACACAAAAAAAAAAAAAAAACAAATTAAAAACATGAAATTACCAAGAAATAAAATAGATCTTCAAATAAATATAGAGATAAAATATGGAAAATGTATAAACCTGAAGTTCACAATTGAGGTGTTAGTCTCTGTCTTTGGGTAAAGAAAAAGACTTGCCAACTGAACTATGAATTTGTTTTGGTTGGTCGTCGGTATCTCTATCTCTGCAAGTAGAGTTCTTGATAAATACAAGTAAAATCGACAGCCCAAAGAAGATGTCAAATTCGGAATTCAAAGGAAAGCGAATAGAAAAAAGTGTGTAGATTTAGTGATGAGGCGACGGTACATCAAAATGCCAGTCTCCACCGTCGAAATGAAAGCTACAGTTGAACGAAAGTGGAAAGAAGAAAGTGCGTAGATTTAAATTCAAAGTAACAACTTCTGAACAATAAAAAAAATATTGCATGAAAAGAAAAACAGATCTACAAAGAAAGATGGTGGTAGCTAATTCTCCAATTGTGCAACAAATTATCCCATAAACAAATTTTCAACATTTCTTAGAAAGAAACGCAGACCTAGAAAGAAATACCATTGGGATGTAGAAACAAACAGAAAAAGCAAATGAAATGAATGGTCTGGAACCACGCCAACAAAATAAAAACTTGAACACTCGAGGATAGAATGAAACTGGTTTCTTCTGCTTTAGAATCGGTCAAGGTTCTGCTTTAGAATCTGAACCTCGACCTGCCCAGGTCGAGGTTCAGATTCATACATATGAAGAGGAAATTACAGAAAAATAAAGAAATTACCGACAACCCACGAAAATGACAACTCCGAAACTCGAAAAAACTATAAACGCTTCAAAAACCTGCAAATCGAAGAGCTCGAAGCGGGAGCCGAGGTCCAGCGCTCGAGGCTTGCTACCGACGGAGAGGTCGAAGAGGCTGTGCGTGTGAGAAACTTCCTGCCGGTGAAGAGGCACGAGGTTCAGATTCTTACATATAAAGAGGAAATTACAGATAAATAAGGAAATTACCAACAACCCACGAAAATGAGAACTCCAAAACTGGAAAAAACTATAACCACTTCAAAAACCTGCAAATCGAAGAGCTCAAAGGGAGATCTGAGGTCGAGCGCTCGAGGCTCGCTACCGGCAAAGAAGTCCGAGAATCTGTGCGTGCGGAGAAATCGGACAGGCTCTGCGTGCGAGAACCTTACTGCCGGTGAAGAGGCACAAATTTCATAATTTTACGCGAGATTAATCTTGAATATAGAAGAAACCCTTTTGAGATCTACGAAAGAGAGAACAAGAGAGAGAAAATGAAAAGGCAGAAATGAGAATAACTGAAGGCTCTAGAAACCGGGAGACATTATGAACAAATCCCAATGGCTCAGCCGACGGCTCGGCTTCATGGGACGGCTTAGAAAAGTTAGATAACTAAACCGGCTTGTGAACAGTACATGGTCAAGTGCCTCTTTTATTTTTTAGTTAGATATTAGAATCACAAATTTTTGAAGAAGAAGAGGATGACACGATAACTTGTTTTTTGATGGCATGAAAAAAAAAGTTGATTTTGAATGTCCAAATATGTGAGGGACATCTCAAGTTTTCTACTTAACACTCAATAATACTGAGCAAATGTTCCCTTCGTGGTGAAGTTTTCCTCCTTCCTCTGTGAAGTTTTCTTCCCTTCCTCCGGTGAAGGTTTTTCTTGATTTTTCTGCGCCCTCGCTGGGGGGGAGGGGTGGGAGCTTTGGCTCCCCCCCTTTCCCCTTTCCTTTTTCCCTTCTTTCCCCTTTTCCCTTTCTTCTTTCCCCTTCTTCCCCCTCCGTTTTCCTTCTATTTTTTCTCTTTGTTGTTGCCCGTGGTTCCGCCGTGTTGCAGGCGTGGTTTGGGCGGGGTGGTGGTGTTCGTGTGTGCTTTGGTCGGAGAGAGGGGCGAGCGAGGTTGGCTGGTGGCGAGCGACGGGCCTCGGTCGTTGTGATCTCAGGTGGTCAGAGCCAGCGTGGGTGCTGCTGCTGTTGGGGGTTCATCGACGAGCCGTTTTGGCTGGTTCTTCAGCGCAGGCGTGGGTTGGTGTTTGGTGGTGTGTGGCTGGTGTTTTCCTGTTTGTTGCTTGGTGCTGTGTCTTTGTTGTTTAGTTTGGTTTCTGTTGGTTTAGTTTGTGTTT